GCCCGGCTCCCTACTCTTCCTCCACTGGTCTCTCAAACCCTCTGCAGGCACTCAGGCCCCTCCCCCTTCTAGCCCTAGCTCAGACGTTCCTCTTCCAGAAAGTTCTTCATGAAAATCCTAGTTTTTTTTTTTTAATTTTTTTTTTTTTTCAACGTTTATTTTTTATTTTTGGGACAGAGAGAGACAGAGCATGAACGGGGGAGGGGCAGAGAGAGAGGGAGACACAGAACCGGAAACAGGCTTCAGGCTCTGAGCCATCAGCCCAGAGCCCGACGCGGGGCTCGAACTCACGGACCGCGAGATCGTGACCTGGCTGAAGTCGGACGCTTAACCGACTGCGCCACCCAGGCGCCCCAAAATCCTAGTTTTTAATCCTGAAATCTTAATGTATAGGACCATGTGATTTTGTTGCGTTCACTTGCTTATCTGTTTATTGCATTTTCTGTATTTTTTATTGTGTTTAATTTAAGTAGCACATTCATGTGGTCGAGGCTTCAAAGAACACAAAAAGGTAGATGGTGAAGAAGTCTCCCGTCTCTGTTGCCCATCCATCCTTTCCTTCTGGAAACATCCAGAGCTACTAGTGTCCTGTCTTTCCTTCCAGAGACTTCATACCTCCACATACATGTGTATGTGTACACAGGATGCAGCATACATACACGTGTGTACAAACCCACACATAAAATCTTTCCCTTTTTTAGTACACTATTCTGTACCTTGCTTTTTCTTGTGATTATGTATCTTAGAAATTATCCCAGGTGCATAACATTTCCTTTTGCGGGAAGTGACTGCCAGGGGTCCCATGTGAGTTGGTAGCAGGCCTGGCCTCATTTCTCCTAGTCCTGGCCTCCGTGTTGGTGTTGGGCAGTCAGTGGTGCGTTTGCTGCCCAGGTCGGGCTCTCCTGTCTGAGACCGTGCCCAACACGGTGTGCTTTCTGCCTCTCCTAGGGCCAGGGCCCAGAGAGGCTAGTGTCTGGTTCAGACGACTTCACCTTATTCCTGTGGTCCCCAGCAGAGGACAAGAAGCCCCTCGCACGGATGACGGGACACCAGGCCCTCATCAACCAGGTGCTCTTCTCCCCTGACTCCCGCATCATCGCCAGTGCCTCCTTTGACAAGTCCATCAAACTGTGGGATGGCAGGACAGGCAGGTGAGTGGAGGCGTGGGGAGGGAGAGGAAGGGCACTGGTCCTCTAGAAGGAGCTTGGCTGTGCCACTTACTTGCTGCGTGGCCTTGGCAAGCATTTGGATATTCTGAGCCTTGTCTCCTCTTTTGTAATATGCAGACCTACCTCTCAGCTTTGTTACAAGGACTAAGGGAGATGGTATATTTAGGACTGGCAATAAATGGGCACTGAAGTGCTAGTTCCTTTTGTATCAAAGGAGAGAAATGACCTTAAGACGGCCGGGATTGCAGCAGAAGTGTAGACTTGAGCTGCAGTCATTTTCCGGCCCCCCTCAAAGTGTGGTCCACAGACCAGCTGCTGCAGCATCACCTGGGAGCTTGATAGAAATGCAGAGTCTTGGGCCCCACCCCAGACCTTAAGAATCAGAATCTGCATCTTAATAAAGTCATCAGCTGATTCTGCTCCCGTTGAAGTCTGAGAAGCCTCAGTATAACGAGATACTGTGCCCTTGAGGTTAATCAGGTCAGCAGAGAGGCAAAGGCACGGGCAAGAAGAGAAAGGGGACGAGGGAAACCCTTGCTGGGGCCTTGCTGTCTCGGCCATTGTGGGTTTCCGTATAGCGGTCTTTGAAATAGGTCGTTCCCTTCTTTTTCAAGATAAGGAAACGGAGTCTCAGAGACTTGTCCAAAATGACAAGTCCTAATGACTTGTCCAAATAGACATAGCTAATCTGTATTGACCTGGAAGTGCCAGGTGAGCCTGGCCCACTACTCCATGCCACTTGTCAGCAAGCAACTTGTGTTAGGGGGATATCAGGCAGATGGGCTGAGCAGGGACTACACTGGATTCGAAGTCATGCAAAGTTGTCCAGATACGGAGGGCACAGGGGCCCCTTCAGACCTAATACCCATCATCACTTTCCTGGCCCAGGTACCTGGCTTCCCTGCGTGGCCACGTGGCTGCTGTGTACCAGATTGCGTGGTCAGCCGATAGCCGGCTCCTGGTCAGTGGTAGCAGTGACAGCACGCTGAAGGTGTGGGATGTGAAGGGCCAGAAGCTGGCTGCTGATCTTCCAGGCCACGCAGATGAGGTATGGCTGACCTCGTGAGCAGAGGTGGGGCAGGTAGGGGTTGAAGCCTGGCCCTCCTGCCCGACCCCCTTCCGACACCTTACCTGCTTCTCCCCACCCCCACCTCTGTTTAGGTATATGCTGTCGACTGGAGTCCAGATGGCCAGAGAGTGGCAAGTGGTGGGAAGGACAAATGCCTCCGGATGTGAGTTTTGGGGAGGTGGCGGTTGGTGTGCTTGGCTCTCCTGCCCTTAAGTTGGCCACTCCTTGCACCTTTCCCTTCTGGCGTAGAATTCTAAGGGTTCTCCAGGTGCCTAAGACAGCGTGTGGTGCCACGTTCTCTCGGTGGTTAAGAGGGAGAACTGCAGAATAACCGTGATTATGGGAGACCCTGACGGTGCTCTCCGAAGGGCGAGCCCAGAGTCCCTCCAGCATGAGGCAGTAGTTCTTAGAACGCTGGGTTTTGAAGGCGTCACACCTAGTTCCGATCCTGGTTCTGACTTTCATTGTGTGGTTTTGGAGAGCGTGGTTCACCTGCCTCCTGAGAGTTGTCAAGCCTCAGTAGATGGGAAGATCAAAGATAGGAGGCGAACACACTTAGGAACCCAAAGCACGTGTACTTGTAAATGTTGTCATTGTTTGCTATCAGATGACCTTGGTGGGCATCTGAGAGGCCAGGCCCTGGGATGAGGTCTTGGCTGGGGCAGGCAGTGGGTGCCCAGCGTTGAGTTTGGTTGGCCAGAGCAGAAATGGTAGCCAGTCTCTTAATGACCAAGTGAATACAGGTTCTCCCCCGTAGTGGGCTCCTGGGATTATATGGCAGCCTCCCCTTCCCAAGATAGGATCCCCATGCTGTTCCCTCCCCTTCTCCACAGATGGAGGAGATGAGAAATCCCAAGTTCTTGGACTCCCACCTGGACTCAGCTGCTGCCAGTGCCCGCCCTGACAGAGACCAAAGGCCAGGGTGGTGCCCCTGTGAACCAGTGTGGTCTGCTGTCTTTGGACAGACCCCAGTGAGGTCCCTCTCCAGAGCAGGAGGTCGAAGTTACGGGAGAATATCACTGGGCTCAGCCGTTGGCCATTACTCCATACCTTGCTGGGGGGGGGGTGGGGGGGTGGGCAGGCAGTGACCAGACCCTTGCTGCTGCCCCTCCTCCTTTCCTGAATGTTCTCTCTATTCAGCATCAGACCCTGGATCCTGTGACCAAATAAATAACTTCTATTTTGTGTGTTCGGGTTAATTCCTTGTCCCCAAGGCTCACCCAAGGGCTGTGCTGAGTCAGTCTGTCTAACCCTTCCCTCCGGGCCACACCAAAGCCATACTGACTGGGAGGTGGCCTTTCTTCTCTTTCTCTTGTGCCTACGAGGGAGAGGCTCATTGTGGCTGGGGGCGCTGGTGGAAGCCATAGGATAGTGGCCAGAGGATGATGTGAGCTTGTGCTGTCCAGTGTGGCAGATGCTAGCGACATGTGGCTGTGTTTACCAGAATTCCACATGGTTAGAAGTGCAGTTCTGTGATGCTAGCTGAAGGCTACCCACTGCACCGGACGGCACAGATGGAGAACACCTTCACCAGCCCATGGAGTTGTGCGGGCCAGTGTTGTTCTAGGGCTGCTTTTGTCCGCCCCTCTCTCACACAACACACTTCCTGAGCTCCTGCAGTGCACCGAGCACTGTGCCGGGCTCTCAGGGTACAGAGCAGAAGGTGACCGCTGTCCCAGGGGGCTCCCTCTAACAGCGTGCAGTAGTGAGGGCTCTAGCAGAAGTGGGTGTGATGTGACATGGGAGGCTGGTTCTCTGCCCCATAAGGACTGTCACACAGTGAAAGGAATCCCCACCAGATGTCCTCAAATGCTTGAACAAAGTCTTGCCTCCCATGCATCTGCCTTTGCTTTGTCCCGTTTCAATGCTCCGGCAGTTGGATTCTTGTACGGACTGCTCAAGGCCACGGCATTTCTAACCTCTTATCCCCCGCCCACCATGCCTTTATGATTTTGCACGTCATCTGGATGTGCTCCGTCTCCACCTTGTGTGTCTCTGCAGGGAGGCTGCAGGAAGGGCAAAGGGGGCCACCAGTGGCGGAGTTCCTACCCTGTGCACTCGTTCTATGTGCTCACGTGATCCTCATGGGACCCCTACTGTCCTGCCCGTAGGGTTTTCACCTCCCTAAACAGCCCAGGAATCTTAGATGGTTTGTCCGGGCCCTCACATCCAGGAAAAACTACGATTAGAGCAGACCCTGCCCCATAACCTGTGCACTTTGCGCCACGTCCTTCCAGAGCTTGTTGACTATCGACGAGCTGCCACCACCTCTGTCCAGTGTTGCTGTTTATCCCAGTGTATGTGCGTTTTAGTCTTTAACATTTCTTCCTCCCCCAGGGAAAGGGGGATATGTTCCATATCCCCCCAGCCCCCGACCCAGACTCTCGGTCCTGGCAGAAGCTAGGAAGGTGAATGGCAGCCAGCCCGGCTGTCAACACGAAGCACAATTCGGTATGCTGGGTGACCTGCAGTGCTTTAATAAGGGACTGGACCCAGCCCAGATCTGGGGAGGAGGATGCCGAGCAGCTGTAGGCAATAGCTGACCAGACCTGGCCTGTGGCGTCTCCAGGTGAATGGAGCTCCTATCTAGCCTAGGCCCGGGCCCAGGAGTGTAGATTTGGGAGCATCGCCACCAGGCTCTGGGCAGGGTGGTCAGCAGTTCCCTGGCATGGTGCTGGTGGTACATCTCACGATTCTGGTTCCTGAGAGCCCTGGGCTGAGGCTGAAGCTGAAGATAGGTGAGGGGCTTCCCGGGGCCCTCCTTAGTAGGGAAATAGGTATTCCAGATCTTCCAGCTTCCGCATCTCCTCCAACCCGATGGAGACGGTTTTCCGCTGGGGTTCCTTGCGCTGCACGGTGATCTGGATGGGGTTGTTCTCGGGGAAGCTGTTCAAGTCAGTGGCCACGGTTGCAAACTGAAATAAAACAAACTCAGAATTCCATCCCAGACCTGACCCTAGCTCAGCTCTTCATCTCTGCAACCCCCTTGTTGTTTGCCAAATGGGATCTTATGTAGCCTTACCGCCTGTTCGCGGACTCCAGAAACAGGTACAAACCAGTGCCTTCTCTGTCGTGTGAGGTTTCCAACCACAGTTGTCTGGGCCTCTCCTCCCGTGCGCCTGCCCACCTCCCTTCCCTTCTTCGTCCCCCTTTCGCCTCTTCCCTGTGTTTCCCTCGGTGCCCTTAACTTCCTGGCCCACTCACGATTATTATGAGTTGAAGAATCCCAAAAGTAGTGGCTTTGGAAGCTGAACATTACAGAGGTGCTGGTGAATATATCAGTTTGCATTCCCAGTGGGCCCCAGAGTGGTGTAATCCTTAAACCTCCCAGAAGGAAGCAGCCTGGAATTCATGCTCATCCGCCCAGGCAGAAAGGCAGCCAGCAAGAAGATGAGTTGCCTCCAAATCCCCTGACCTCCCGGCCCTCTTCTCCCAGGGCTCACTTTGTAGGGCTTGCACCACTTCCCCACCCCGGCTGTGTTGGCCGCACGGACGGTGAGGCAGTAACTCGTGTTAGGCTTCAGTTCCATCAGCTTGACAGTAGTGCCCAAGATCTTGTTGAAGATCCACGGGCGATTCTTTGTCTTGGGCGGCTCATTGTCTTTTGTCTTGACCACCTCCTGCAACAGGACCTGGTAGAAACTGACCTGCTGCTTGCCCAGGGAATACGTCCAGGAAATCTAGAAGAGACCCCCCGCCACCAGGCTTCCTCAGACCTGCTCCAGGCTGTCCTCCCCTCACCTCCCACCCCCAACCATGGGTCCGAATGCCCCACTCCCATCCCCTGTCCCTCCTGGGGCTGAGGCAGGTCTGATGGAAGGGATAAGGCATGCTACGGGCCTGTAGCATTTGCAACTCTCCCTGGGCAGCCCCACCCACCTCAGGGTGTGCCCCCAGCCCATATTTCTTCTAGACTAGTTGAGAGGGACCTTAGAGATCATCTTGTGCACCTCACTCCTTGCAGATGAGATTACGGGTTCAGAGAAGGCGGGTGGCTGGCCCGTGGTCACACAGAGTGACAGAGCCAAAGTTCAAACCAGTAGTTCCAGAGCCCACATACTTTGTGCTACAACAGTGGTTGCCAAGCCTGGCTAAGGAGCTGGGGGAGTTTTTATAACACTGCAGATTCCTGGCCATGCTGTCTTCTCTCAGGTCTCCCATTACCAATTTCTCCTCCATCTAGGCCAGTGGTTCTCAAAGTTGGGTGTGCATCAGAACCCCCTAGAGGACCTGTTAAAACAGACTGCTGGCCCCCACAGTTTCTGATTCAGTAGGCCCAGGTGGAGGGGGAGGAGAGGAGAATTTAAATTTCAAACATGTTGCCATACGATGCTGACACTGTTGGTGGTCTGGGAACCACACTTGGAGAGACACTGCTCATCTGGGACTTCCAGATTTATCTTCCTAAAATACAGCTCAAATATCACCTTATATCACCAGATAGAAGGCTTTGCAAAAAGCTGTTCTCTACTGCTTACAGAAAAATCTATACAGTAGTCTAACGTTGCAGGACCTCCAAAAAAATGACTCCAGGCTAACTTCCCCCACTCTGTTCCCTGTCCTGGACCTGGAACAGTGCTACTCAACATGAGGCCTATCAGCACCACCTGGGAATTTGTTAGTGGTGCAAATTCTCAGGCCCCACCCCACACCTACTGAATCAGAATCTCTAGGGATGAGGCCCAGGAATCTCATTTTTAAGAAGACGGTTGGCTCTGCAGGCACAGAAAAGTGCGAGAGCCCTACATTGGGACCTGGCTGTTTGCTCCCACTTTTTCCCACCTGTGAGGTGTTGCTAGTGTCAACCCCTCCATGGAATGTCTTTCTCCCATCCCTGGATGTTTAAATCCTACCTCTGCGTCCCAGCTTAAACGCTACCAAAGCCACCAAGCTTATTCCTACACCTGGAAGTAATTTTTCTTTCCCCCTGAATTCCTGGTGGCACTTGATCTGAACTCTGCCCATAGAACTGCATCCAATCCAGCTTGCACTGGAGTGCTTTACAGACATGGCCTCTCTCCTGTGCCAGGAGCGTGAGGTCAGGATGCAGGTGGTAGGCATCTTCGCACTCCCTGTGGAGCTCAGCTCAGTGCCTGGCACACGGGGGCGGCCAGTAAGCCTGTACCTGAAGGCATGAAGAGGGAAACTCACCACAGCCGTGGAGTCGCTGACTGTGTGTTCGCAGATGAAGGGCGCCTCCGGCACATCCATGACCACAGAGGACTCTGAGGGTGTTGAGGAGGTGTCTGTGTCCAGCTCAGGGTTGTCAAGGTCCAGCAGGCCCCCAGGGACTATTTGGGACTTCGATGGACGGGGGCAGAGAGCCAGGTTCCTCTTGTGTGTGTCGTTGCCCATCGAGGAGAGGCTGAGTTTGTTCAGCTCCCCCTCTAGCATCCCTGCAAAGAAGCTGCTGTTGGGCTGGGTCACAGCCAGTTTGATGGGATTCAACAAGGTGGATGAGAGTGGGGAGATGCTGGTGTCGTCAGAGCTGCATTCAGAATCCTCCACTGGCATCGGCTTCCTGAGTGGGAGGGAGACAGGTGAGCCACGGAAGGAGGCCACCCCAGCCCATGCAGCTGGGAAGCTCCCCGAAGGCAGGCCTTGAGCCTGACTCGCCAGTAACCCCAGATGCTTCTGAATAGCTCAGAACATCCTTATCACCCTGCAGCAGTCCATTCAACCCACCAGGGCACTTACTGAAAGATGCAGATTCCCGGTCCCTGCCCTCACCCCCCCGCCCCGCTTTGGGATGCGACTGGGGAAGCTACTAAAGTATCTTTCAACGTTTATTTATTTTTGGGACAGAGAGAGACAGAGCATGAACGGGGGAGGGGCAGAGAGAGAGGGAGACACAGAATCGGAAACAGGCTCCAGGCTCCGAGCCATCAGCCCAGAGCCCGACGCGGGGCTTGAACTCACGGACCGCGAGATCGTGACCTGGCTGAAGTCGGACGCCTAACCGACTGCGCCACCCAGGCGCCCCTAAAGTATCTTTAATAAGATCTTCAGATGATTCTGAGGCATGTGTTCTGAGGCCCAGAATTTGAGAAACACTGCTAAAATCTTAAGTCCTCCTTCCACAGCAGGGTGCAAATACCCTGGGGAATGCCCAAACCAATCTAGTGGGGTATGGAAAAATATCTAAGTGTCTAAATTAAAAATAATTAAGCTTTACTAATACTTGCTACTGTTGAACAGTAATTACTAATTTCTTAGATTTTGCAACATTTAACAATATTTATTAATATGTAGCATGTAAAGTTAACAATAGTACACATAAATATGAATATATTGGGGTAAAAGCTCAAAAACCTTTCTTCCATTCTAATTTTGTTAAATTATGAAATATTTTAGACATACACGAGATATCAAGAATAATATATTAATATATAATAATGCATGGTGATTATAGTTAGTACTACTATACAGTATGTTTGAAAGTTGCTAAGAAAGGGGCATCTGGGTGGCTCAGTCGGTTGAGCGTCCGACTTCAGCTCAGGTCAGGATCTCGTGAACTGTGAGTTCGAGCCCCGCGTCTGGCTCCGTGCTGACAGCTCAGAGCCTGGAGCCCGTTTCAGATTCTGTGTCTCCCTCTCTCTGCCCCTTCCCCACTCATGCTCTGTGTCTCTCAAAAATGAATAAACATTTAAAAAAAATTTTTTTAAACAAAAAGAAGAAGAATGTTGCTAAGAAAGTAGAACTTGAAAGTTCTTATCATAAGAAATAAGTCTATAACCATGTGTGGTGATGGATGGTAATGAAACTTACTGGGATAATCACTTCATAATACACACACGTATCAAATCATGTACACCTTCTAAAGCCTCAGCAGTACAGTTAAAGCCCCTGACACTTGTGTCCCCCTCCTCAGTCTGCATCCTCCTGCTCAGAGGTAACCAGTACAGCACATTCCAAATTTTGTGTTTATTCTTCATGTGTGTTTCTAAAGCTTTGTTACATGTGTACGCTATCCTTACACAAGTTGTTATTTTGCATATTTTAAAACTTCATATAAATAAATGGTGTCATATCCATCAGCAGCTTGCTTTTTTCATTCAACATTGGTTTTTTTTAGATTCATGTGTATTGATACATGTAGTTCTGGTTCAGACATTTTAACTGTTGTACACTTTCCATTACATGGACATTTGTCTTGTTACCAATTCTTTGCTATTACAAAGAAAAACCTTGGACATGTTTCCTTAGTTTATTTTTTTGTTTGTTTGTTTGGTTGGGTTTTTTTTTTTTTTTTTTTACTGATGTAGTCCAGAATCCAAAAAGGTTGGGTCTCAAATCTTTTTTTTTTTTTTTCCTTGACCAAAAGGAAGAAAAACATACTACCTGGAATCCTGGGATACTCATACACGCATGTAAAACTGAAACACATTTCACGAACCAGTAATTACTCTATGTGTGATGTGCTCTGGAATTTTCTATTCTTCTGTTTCATTTTTATAATCCTGGTCTCTGTCAACTCCAGTAATGGATCACAACCCACATTTTGAAGAGCAGTGGTATAGCAGGAGCAGTCACTGGGCCTTTGGGGACCAAGTACCCTAACCAAGGTCACAAGGTGAGTTGAAGGCAGAGGTTGAACCAGAACCCAGATCTCCTGGGTCCCATGCCTCACAGCTCCCATCTGCCTCTGGTGCATTCTGGCTCCTCTCCTCTGCTTCTTACCCCATTTCCCCAGCTGCTCCGGACAGATCCAGCAATCAATACACATGCCCGGATCCCTTACTCCAGGCCAACCACTGGCTTCATGGCTGATGGATATGCCAACTTTTCCTTGAGTTCCAGCCCCAAAGACTACCTCCTGAGAAATCCTGATCCGCCCAAACCTTCTATGCTAGCCTTTGGTGAACATTTGCCATAGGTGACTCCCCCAACAAGGCCCTTTGTAGGCTGGAATCTTGTATTTAGGTCACTTATACTTCAGATTGTCCTAATGAGTCTCTATTTATCTATAAGATTTAAAGCAATTTTTTAAGCTAATCTCTACACCCAACACAGGGATCGAACCCACAACCACAAGATCAGAGAGTCACATGCTCTACCGACTGAGTCAGCCAGGCACCCCAAGAATATCTGTTTTAGATTCTCTTTTTCAAAAGAGCAGTGCTGAAGTGGGCACAGAAAGTAGTTAAGTATTGAGCTATATGCTGGACAAAAATTTTTTATGCTCTTCATGACAGCTCTGCTGGATGGGTGTTAGCCCCATTTTGCAAATGAGGGACTGAAGGTCCCTGATCTTAATTAGTCTATAGTCATGTATCTTAAGTGATAGAACTTGGATTTGAACTTGGGCTCCTAGCCCAAGATTTTCCTGTCATATCACATGACATTTCCTACAAGTATCTGTCACTTTAGCCACACCTGCTTACTTATAGGTCCCTTAGGGACTGGACGTCATATCCCTTTCATGTAATCAAGACTAGCTACACAGTTCATGGGGCCACTTCTTCAAAATTATTAAGAATTTCTAGACAGTGACAGCCATGTCTGGTTCCTCAAGGTGTCCTGTCATAGCACAGATTGGGCTTATCATTCTTGATTCTTGCCGAACATCTCCAAATACACACACACACACACACACACACACACACACACACACACACCAGACTGAGAGCTCCTTCAAGGCAGGGGCTGGGTTTTTCAACTCTGCATTCCTAGAACTTGACATTAGGCCAGATACCTTAGAGATGCTCAGAGAATTTTGTGGAACAAACTAAAGAGAACCCAGAATCACTGAGGAAGAACAATAAACTTCAGGCTGACAGCAGGCAGACTATTGGGGGGACATAATCAGGCAGGCAAAGGCACCAAAAGGGGGGACTGAGGAAGAGGAGCCATGGGGAATGGAATGGACTAGGGGTGTCTGTATGGGGGTGTGGGAGTGGGGAGGACCACAGCTAGACAAAGCAGGATAAAAAGTACCGTCAACAAAACTCTAATCCTCGAAGGCCTTTTGGAGCAGGAGGCCTCCAAGCCTCCAAGAACTGATTTGGGGTCAGACATCCAAAGTGCAACCTTTACACGTGCTGTGCTCTTCCCGGGGAGTTCAGGGACCAAGCTGTGACAGGTCAAGGAAGCAGCATTGCTTTTCCGGGACCCTCTCCTTGCCCCTCAGCTCTGGCCTTAGAAAGAAGGAAAGGACCAGACTTGTGTCTTACGGTAGATTGATGGGATCTTCCTCCAAGAAGTTAACCAAACTGCCTCTTGTGGAAAGTGGGAGTCCTTTGGTAGTGACGGTCCTGTTCATAGACTTGGGGTTTGGAAAAGGCTTTGACATTTGATAGAGTGCATTCAGAACATTGAGGTTTTCCTTCTTCAGCATGGCCTCCCCCCCATCTCCCACTTTACACAGTGCCTTTGATGCCATCTTGTCTGTTTGGGGACCGCAGCCGTCACCACACAGCTGACAGGAAGCAGAGAGAAACTGGGGGCAGTGGACCCACCCTTAGTTTGTGTGGGCTGGGGGTGCAATGAGCTGACTTCATAATCACGGCAGAGTGTAACAATTAGGGGCCAGCCTCCCCCTTGATCGGAGGCTGCTGCCGCCCAGGGCCAGTGTTAGGAGTGGGGTACAAGGGACAGGCTACATCATCCCTTGGGCCCCTTCCAGTTTTAATGCTCTGTGGTTACAGCAACACTGTCCTTCTCTTCTCTGAAGATCTCAAAATGCTTACCACCTGTTCCCTTTGGAGCTGCTCTGGGAAGGAGGAGCAGGTGGTAAGAGAAAGGCTCCCGGGGGCAGGTGGGAGTCGGCAGGGGCCCTGGGAGACAGGCAGCACTGAAATGGGTCTCTGGGAGGGGGGAGTTTGTCTCCAGAATGCTGAGGCTCTATATCCAGAAATCCTGGGCAGCAAACCCCAACTATGTCAGTAGGCACAGGGAAAGTCCAGATGGCTCATGGGGTTCACAGCCCACATACAGCCAGGTTTTGCTGCTAGAACTCTAAATGTGCCACATCCTCACCCCGAGCGTCTCTGTGTGTTGAGTGACAACGGTGGATGCTGCACAGGGATACAAATATGGGCCAGACATGTTTCTGTTCTCAAGGAAACCACCTTACCGTAGGAAAACCGACACATAACTCCGGGAGTGGTTAGAGTGGGTTTGCACTCACATGTGGATTTGTCCACTCTAAGTCCCGCTCTGCACCTACAGGTTGTGTAAACCTTTGGCAAGTGACTTCACCTCGCTGAGCCTCAGTTTCCTCCTCTGGAAGATGGGGATAAAAACAGCAGCCGCCTTATTGGATTGTGAGGAGTTGTAAAGTTGTTTTATGTTTCCCAGAGGACGAGGCAAAGCAAAGGATATTTAAAAACGCCAAATCATATCTTCTGTGTTCCAAATCATCAGGGTTTTTGTTGTTAATTCATCCCCCAAAAGAGAAAGTGTTGTTTCAAAAATAGAGCCGCAGATGCCCTCTCTGCTGCTTCTGAGCACCTACCATAGAAATCTGTAATTACCCGGTATCTTGGACTCCTCTTCACTGTCCTCCCCACTAACACGTAGGTGCCTGAGAGTAGGGATGGTCCGTCGGGTCGAACTCCGCGGCCCAGCGTTTAGAACAGAAGCCGACGCCCGGGGGCGCGCAGCACGACCTGCGCGCGCGCCCCCGGAGGCGGGTGGAGGCGTGTGCGGGCGCGGGGCGTGGCGGGCGGAGAGCCGGTCCAGTAGGCAGCGCGCGGCGGGCGCCAGGGAGCACGGGGGTGGAGCGTCGTGGGGCGGGGGACTGGGGACTGGGGACTGGGGGCCGGCTCCCACCCCAACCGCCCTGTCGCCGCACGGCCAGCAGATGGCGCTGCAAGCCAGGTCCTGGCTCCTGGAAGGCGGAAGCGCGGCGTGGCGCGAGCGGCTGGGCTGAGGCGCGGAGACCCGGTGGGGCGCGCCCCCTCCGCGCTGCCGCCTTGCGCCCCTTCTCGAGCAGGGTGCCGCCGGGCGAAGGGAGAGGGCCCCCGCGGAGGCCCGCGGGACGACCAGCCCCGAGCCCGGCGTTACCCGGACCGACCCCCAGGGAACATGGGCGTTCTCAGGGCCGGGCTGTGCCCGGGCCTCACCCAGGACACAGTCCAGCTTCTGAGGAGCCGCGGGATCAAGACAGGTGACCGCGTGCGCGCCACCCAGCTGGGCACAGCGCGGACTAGGCGTACCCGGGAGGGGTCCTCCCCGCTCCCCTGTGCTCTGCCCCGCACCGCTCTGCAGAGCCTCGGGAAGGCGGGAGTGGGGCCAACCGAGCCCCTGGGGAGGGCAGAACCCCTACTGGGTGCCAGGCGCCCCGCCAGGCCCCACGGCTCTGTGCTGTCACGTAGGCCGCCTGGGACTGCCTGCCCCGGGGTAGAACCGTCACCTCGCTTTACAGAAGCGGAAAAGCCACGTGTGGGAAGCCCGGCACCTCCCTTCCTGCCAATCAACCACGTGTGCTTTGTTTTCAGTGGTGGACCTGGTTTCTGCAGACCTGGAGGATGTAGCCCAGAAGTGTGGCTTGTCTTACAAGGTGAGCTATCTCCACGCTACAAACTTGGGTGTCTCTATTTTTTTTTTTTTTTTTCAACGTTTATTCATTTTTGGGACAGAGAGAGACAGAGCATGAACGGGGGAGGGGCAGAGAGAGAGGGAGACACAGAATCGGAAACAGGCTCCAGGCTCTGAGCCATCAGCCCAGAGCCTGACGCGGGGCTCGAACCCACGGACCGCGAGATCGTGACCTGGCTGAAGTCGGACGCTTAACCGACTGCGCCACCCAGGCGCCCCAAACTTGGGTGTCTCTAAATGCTCAACCCTGAGTCAAAGGAGCAAAGGGCTCCCAGAGATTGAAAACTGGGGTGGCAGCAGCGTATGAGACCCTGGGATGCCCCCTCCCTTGGCGAGTCATTGCTGTGTGCTCCGGGCTGCTTTGGGTTGAAGCGATCCAGGCCCCATCTTGAGTTGCCCCCGCCCCTTTCGTAGGCCCTGGTTGCCCTGAGAAGGGTGCTGCTGGCTCAGTTCTCAGCTTTCCCCTTCAATGGCGCTGATCTGTACGAGGAACTAAAGACCTCCACAGCCATCCTGTCCACTGGCGTCGGAAGGTTTGTATTTGGGGAAGAAGGTGAGAGGCTGGAGGACCGGGCTGCCTCCGGTACCGCCTTTCACTCTTGAATCTAGAGAGAGCAGGGTTTTTCAAGCTGTGATGAGGGCAGCATGGGCAGATGGCCAGGACTTCTGAGTTGTCTTACCTTATGACAGGGTTTCTTGACTTCGCACTTCTAATATTTTGGGATTTGTAATCATTTGCCCCAGGGCGGGGGGTGGGGGAGTGTCTGTCCTGTGCATTATAGGATTTTGGGCAGCATCTCTGGCCTCTATTCAATAGATAACAGTGGTACCTCCCTTCTCCCCATGTTGTGACAATCAAAAATGTCTCCAGATGTTGCCAAATGACCCCTGTGGGGGCACAATTGCTTCTGGTTGAGAACCACTATCCTATCACACAAAATGTCAGTATTTCATTATTATTCAGCAGAGCAAAGCAGTTCTTCTCTGGCCCTGCTTCCCATTTCACTGAAGGACAGGGCAAGGAGCACATGAGTAGCTCAGTCGGTTGAGTGTCTGACTTCGGCTCAGGTCATGATCTCACTATCTGTGAGTTCAAGCCCCACATCAGGATTTCTGCTGTAAGTGCAGAGCCTGCTTCAGATCCTCTGTCCCCCTCTCTCTCTGCCCCCTCTCTCACTTGTGCTCTGTCTCTCAAAGATAGATAAAACAAAAAGGATAGGGCGAGAGAACATGGCAAGACTGACACTCATTGAGTGCCTCCTGCGTGCCAGCCACTGACATTAGGTTATGTAATCTCTTCAGTGACCCTGTGAGTTAGTGATGATTAAGCAAGCTTGAGTTTAGCCCTAGAGATTGAGGGGCATGGAGTGGTGGGAAAAGCCCTGAGACACTTGATCGGAGCCAGGTGTGTGCCCCATACCCTGCAGCAAGAGGGGCCAAGGGAGCTTCCGTGGAGGAGTAGTTATATTCTGCTGCGTGGTCTTGGAAGGGAAAGAGTTGGAAGACCACAGCCAGTTTCTGGCCGAGGGAGTCTGACCTCTTTCCTGGCCTGTTCGTGCAGAATTTGATGAGGAACTCTGCCACCAGAAAGGTCTCTGGATTGGTTTGGCCCTTGCTGTTTCCCTAACACGTTCTCTTGGCAAGATTCATACAGCATGGTGCTTCTTCCTCCTGGTTGGCGGTCCGAGTCTCTTACCCCTCAAGCACCGACTGCATGCCTACAGATACATGCGGATTATAGGTGTCCCAGTATGGCGTGGCTCCCGCACTTAATAAATGTGTGGTGTAGTGGGTAGATAGGAGAGCAGGTGAACAGAAGAGAGGTGTACGCATGTGTGGAGGCAGCATAAGGAGGGAGGGATTCACCGGAAGCAGACCTGGCCTCTGGACTTAGAGAGCTTAGAAAAGCAACATGGGCAGAGGAAGCGTTTAGGGAGAAGTCAAGTCATAAATGGTCAGGACTGTGGCTGCAGTGGGGTGTTGTAAAGGAAATCAGAGGGGCACCTGGGTGGCTCAGTCGGTTAAGCGTCTGACTTCGGCTCAGGTCATGATCTCCCCGTTTGTGAGTTTGAGCCCCGCGTCGGGCTCTGTGCTGACAGCTCGGAGCCTGGAGCCTGCTTCGGATTCTGTGTCTCCTTCTCTCTCTGCCTCTTCCCCACTTGTGCTCTGTCTCTCTATATCAAAAATAAATAAATGTAAAAAAAATTTTTTTTTAAAAGAAAAGGAAATCAGAGTGGTTCTGGAAAGCTCTGAGGCAGAGGCAGGCTGTGGGCATTGAGTATGGGCCTTCTCTGAGTGCCAACCAAGAACCCGGCACCATGCTAGCACTCCACAGCACATTATTTCCTTTGTTCTCCACGACCACCAATGGCCACATCACAGGTAAAACCACCATTGGCTAGATGAAGAGACCGGAACTCCGGTTAAGTGACGTGGGCAAGTTCGCACAACTAATAAGTGGCAGACCAGGCTCTTGAGGCCGTACCTGTCACACTTCTGACTCGGACTGCTCTGTCCTGTTGCCTGCCTCCAGGAGGGAGGCCGTGATGTGAAAGTGAGCTGTGGGCACGGAGGCAGAGGTGTGCAGGGTGGACCGGACTAGGGAGGCTCGCAGGAGAGAGGCCAAGACCGAGATAGTAGCAGTGGAGTGCGTGAGTCCCATCGAGAGCAGGTGACAGCAGGAGACGCATTGAAAAGATGCGCAACAGGCCTTGCTACCTGGTGGGATGTGGCTGTGAGGAATCAGATGATATGCTGGGTTTCTGCCCTCCTCACAACGTTCTCTGGACAGTTAATGGATGGATGTAACTTTTAAAAGGGAGGTGGGGAGTTCTGTTGTCACGCTGAGGAAATGCTTCATTAACCCAAATTAAATGAGTTTCTTTGTTGTAGGCCATCTCAGAGCCTGATGTGCAATGTCAGTCTTTACAAGGACAATAGAGAGTGAAGTGGACCTTGTAAGAAGCTGTATTGACTGGGGGAGTCAGGTGATTCCCTGAAGGCTGGTCTCTCTGTATCTCTGTATCTCCAAGGCTGGAGCTAGGTCTCTGTGTTTCTGTATCTCCCTCGTTTTAGAGTAAGACCTTCAGGAAATGGTGAGGTACTTAGGTCATGTTGGAATGAACGGCCGGAAAAGAAAAGACTAAAAGCCAATCCCAAGGGAAAGGGGGAGGCTAACTCCCAGAAATCACTCGGATTCAAAGCAAGTCGTAAGAGCAGGGTGTGCTTCTGCTGCACCAGGCAGGTGGGGCGAGGTGTCTCTCTCTGTCGTCACATGCTCCGAGTTAGAAGTGCTCGGTAGGAGAGTCCTGTGGGCAGTAGGAGGCATGAAATGAAAACACAGGAACACAGCTAAGAAGTCAGCGGAGAGGGGGATTTGAGAATTCCTTATGCAGCGTGGTCCTCGTGGCCAAGAATGAGGTTGATTCTTGTCTGGAGAGTCAGTACCAGTGGTTTAGCCCAGGCTACACGTTAGAATCAAATGGGAGGTTAAGAAAAATTCTGACTTAATTACTCTAGGTCAGTGGGTCCCACACATGTCTGGGCATTAGAATCACTTGGGGAATCTTTAAACATTCCAAAGCCCATGCCTCCTGCAGACCAATTAAATCACATTCTCTGGGGATGGGACACAGGCATCAGTAGGTTTTGTTTTTTTTTTTTAACAGTTTTTGTTTTTTAATGTCTATTTATTTTTGAGAGAGAGACACAGAGCATGAGCAGGGGAGGGGGAGAGGGAGAGGGAGACATAGAATAGGAAGCAGGCTCCAGGCTCCGCGTTGTCAGCACAGAGCCCGACTTGGGGCTCGAACTCCTAAACTGCGAGATCATGACCCGAGCTGAAGTCAGATGCTCAACCAACTGAGCCACCCAGGTGCCCCAGGCATCAGTCGTTTTTGAAGTTCCCAGGTGATTCCACTGTGCGGACAAGTCTGGGAACTGCTGACAGAGGCCTCTTTTTCAAAACTCCTCTGGAGACTTTAATATGCAGGCAGGATTGAGAATCACTAGTCTAACCTAGTGGTTTTCAAACATGCGCACGCATCCAGATCACCTAGAGGCCTTGTTGAAATCAGATACAGTCTCCAGTTTCTGATGCAGCAGATGTGGGGCGGGGCCTGAGAATTTGCATTACACACCAGTTCCCAGGTGACCCTGTTGCTGCTGGCTGGGGACCATCCCAGGAGGACCGCTGCTGCTGCCGTGATGGAGCTAGGGATTGTCTGGTCCCAGCGGGAGAAGCCACAGGCGACTGGAGTGGTGATAAGAGCGTTTTGACTGGCAGGGACGTGTGCCTATAATCACGGAGTCCTTGGAATTGAAATAGATGGGGTATTTACTGAGGTGATGCTTGGAGTACACAGGAGGGTCAGGGGAGGTCTTCCAGAACCTTTGCAGAGTACTGGGGCCTGGGAAGGGGTTTGCAGGGCTGGGAAAGGGATGCATGAGGTCAGGACATGGAGCCATTAGTATGGGCTGTGGTGTAGATAGAGAAGCTTCAGCCCACAGGTCGGGCAGGGAGTGGAAAGTGGTTAGTGACCTGTTTCATCGTGGTTCAAGGACAGGATGTGGATTAGGAATTGGCTGTGTCTTGAGTTTATCCCAAGGCTTCTGCAGCCAAGGTTTTGGCAATATAGGAACTAATTGGTACTTTTCTATCACTTGCTTCTCTGGGAACATTCATTGTTCATCTCCTGTGTTTCTGGCACTATGCCAGTGTCGGAGCCTAGTCCTTGCCCGTGGGTGCTCTGGGCCAAATGGGGAAGACAGACAAAAACAAGCACATAGAAAATAATTACCAGTTCCTAGAACTGAGTGAGTTCAGCAAGGCCTCAGGATACAAGATCAGCACATAAAAATCAATTGCATTTCTGTATACTGAAAATGAACATGTGGAATTGGAAAATTAAAACATAATACCATTTACACTTGCCCCAAAGAAAATGAAATACTTGGGTCTAAATCTAACAAAGCAGGTATGGGAGCTGTATGCTGACAATTCAAACTTGGTGATGAAAGAAATGAAAGATGACCCAAATAAATAGAGAGACCCACTATATTCGTGGATTAGCAGAGTAAAGATGGCAATTCTCTACAAACTGCCCTAAAAACTTCATGCAGTTCTTACCAAAGTCCCAGCGGATTTTTTTTGATGGTAGAGATAAGGCTTATTCTAACAATTAAACAGAAAAGCTAATGATGTAGGATCACTAAAACAATTTTAAAAAAGGATAAAGTTGGAGGAATCAGTCTGCCACATGCTAAGGCTTACTATAAAGCAGTAATCAAGACTGGTGTGGTACTGGCCACACAAAAGACACAGATCAGTGGAGTGGCGTAGAGAACCTAGCAGTACACTCACAGATATGGCCAACTGATTGTTGACAAAGGTCCAAAAACACTTCAGTGGAGGAAGGATATAATCTTTCAACAATGGTGCTGGAGCTGGTGGGCATCATGGGGTAATAAGTATCCCTAAACCCCTCATCTCACACAAAAATTGAAAATGGATCATGGACTTAAATGTACAACTGTCAAGCTTTTATCTTTATTTTTATTTTTCAAGATGTTATTTAAAGTAATCTCTGCACCCTACGTGGGACTCAAACTCACAACCCCTAGATCAAGAGTTGCACCCTCCGACTGAGCCAGCCAGGTGCCCTAAGACTGTCAAGGTTTTAGAACAAAATACAGAAAATCTCTGGAACTAGGGCGAGGCAAAGGTTCTTGGATGTGACACCAAACGTGTGATCAATTAAAAAAAGATAAAATTTTTAATCAAAAAAATAAAAACTAGTCAAAATTTAAAACTTCTGCCCTGCAAAAGAGGACAAAAAGACAAGCTATAGACTGGGCACCGTATTTGCAAGCCACATATTCAACAAAGGACTTGCATCTAGAATATATAAAGAATTCTTAAAACTCAATGGTGAGGGGCACCTGGGTATCTCAATCAGTTGAGCATCTGCCTCTTGACTTCAGCTCAGGTCATGATCTCTCACGGTTCATGAGTTCAAGAACCATGTCGAGCCCCACTTCAGTCTCTGCACAGAGCCTGCTTGGGATTTTCTCTGTCTCTCTTTCTGTCTGTCTGTCTGTCTGTCTGTCTCTCTCTCTCTCTCTGTCTCTGTCTCTCTGTGCCCCTCTCCCACGTGTGCACACAAGTTTTCTCTCTCCCAAAATAAATAAATAAACTTAAAAAAAAACTCAATGGTGAAACAATCCAGTTAGCAAATGGTCAAAAGACATGAACAGATATTTCACCAAGGAGGACATACAGGTGGCAAATAATCACATGAAAAGATGTCAAACATTATTAGTTATTAAGGAAATGCAAATTAAAACCACAATGAGGGGCACCTGGGTGGCTCAGTCAGTTAAGCGTTTGGCTCTTGATTTCGGCTCAGGTCATGATCTCACAATTCGTGAGTCCAAGCCCTGTGCTGGGCTCTGAACTGACAGTACGGAGCCTGCTTGGGGTTCTGTCTCCCTTTCTGTCTGCCTCTCCCCCATTCATGATCTTTCTCCCTCCCTCCCTCCCTCCCTCTCTCTTCTCTCTCTCTCTCTCAAAAATAAATAAATAAGCATTAAAAAAATAAACAACAAAACAAAACCACAATGAGATATTACTGCACACCTACCAGAATGGCTACAATAAAAAGTAGTGATAGCAGCACCTGGCTGGCTCAGTCAGTTAAGTGTCCCAACTTCGGCTCAGGTCATGGTTTCACGGTTAGTGGGTTTGAGCCCTGCATCGGGCTCTGTGCTGGCAGCTCAGAG